GCACAGTGGTGTTTGACACGAAACAAAATAACACGAAGTTAGCTTAAATTGCTAGATTTTATGACGTCAGTGTCCGGGACCTTTCGAATGTTGTGTATGTGTGAGAGAGATAGCAATAGTGTGGGCAAATTTTAACTTTTTTCAACGGAAACTTTTTCTGGTGTTACTTACTTTTCGGAAACACCCGTTGCAATCACTAATGTAAAGTTCTTGAAGAAGTTTTGAGTATTCGACAGGATATGTTCGGCAGTTTCATCAATGTAGTCTCCTCTCACATCGGGATTGAGCTCCAACAGGCACTGAGTGGCGATTTGGGCCCTTGGCAAGCCCACAGATTCATATTCCAGAAAAAAGCTAAAAAATCACCTCAATTCAGGAGGTTTTTTGATTGGTTCCTAAACCTCACTTGCATCCGATGTCTTCCTCGGTCACTTTCTCTCCATCTACTATTGTGAAGGAGCCCACTCCGGGCAGGATGAGACTTTTTAAGATTTCGGTGCCCAGAGCGGTGGCGTTGATGAGGCACACTTTGGAGTTTTCCAGCAGTCTTTGCCCATGGTCACCCCACAGCCTAAGAGTGGCAGGAACGAGCAAAATGGGGCACCAAGTTTGACGCAAAAACGCCCTTACCTCAGTTGCCTGTCGTATTTCCTGCTCTTCTCACTCTGTTCCGGCGACTTGGGAACAGGAGAGGACATTTTACTTGGTTCAAGCAGCCCCAAAATGAGCGGATGAATACTTTTAGGAATTTGTCGAATCTGTACGGTTTTGGAAACGAGTCCACTTCTCTTTAGGCGCCTAACCTTGAATTTTCTGACATCTCTTCATGTCTTCATAAACCTAACCCCCGTTTAGTTGCTAAACGTAGGGGCCCCATAAAGTGGTTACAATGAATGCCTCAATTTTGCGTGCCCTGCGGGCACACAAGCCCTGTATATTACAAAACCACATAATTTTTTTCAGCAATGGGGTTTGCTTGAATCAAATCCACCGGCCTGTGTTTCGACAATCCAACAGATCCCCATCAATCGGGGCATACGGTATTTTTATGCTGGTACGACCTGCAGTAACAACTGCTGGTACTGGTTAATTCTTAAATCCTCCAGATTATTCCTGCAGCCTCTTTTGGTCTGGGCGTTTGGCAAGTGCAAAGGAAGACCTGGAAGGAGCAGTTAATTGCCGAAATGACCGATCGTATCGACAGTGCCCCCATTGAGCTGCCTGGAAGGTCAATAAAAGGCTACCCATTGACTGGATTGATAAACTGATTAAAATATTTCAGTTTCGATGAGATACGAGAGCTGGAATACAGACCGGTTAGGGTACGAGGGACGTTTCTTCATGACAAGGAAATTTACATGGGGCCAAGGGGGTTGTTGCAAAAAGACACAGGGGCCAATAATTTTCTCAGTCTAAGTATTCAGGGATACCATGTTATTACACCGTTCAAGCTAGCAGATCGGGAGTAAGTGTGCAGCAACTTGAGCCTATTGAATGCTTGCTAAAAATGCCCAATTCTCAGCCAAACGATCTTGGTCAATAGAGGTTGGGTGCTTAACAGCCGCCTAAAGCGACACACCAGGGCTGACACCCAGATAGAAGGGGTAGTGGATGTGATTGGGCTAGTGAGGCTATCCGAAACTCGACCGAACTTTTCCGTGAAGAATCAAGAAAACACTAATTTGTACTTTTACAGGTAAGTGAGCGCGAGGTGTTTTTCGCAAACGGATTGGAAAATCGAAACTTTCAGAGACCTGGAAGCGATGTGTGCGGCCACAGGGGCTTCGCCGATTTTCCTGGATCAAACAGTCGATTTCAACCTGCCTGGCGGGCCCACTGGCGGACAGACTGTGGTAACGTTACGAAATGAACACCTTTCCTACATTATTACGTGGTTTTCTCTAAGTGCTGCCACTATGTATATGTGGTTAAAACGATACGTTTTTCGGCCTGTTTAGAACTGAATTACCACCCTAGGGCTTTGTTTTGTCAAGAATAACGTCCTCGTAAAAGAGCAAATAGAATAATGTGAATAGTCCGGCTTTTCCAAAAGTCTGTTAGTTTTGGGCAAAGTCAAAAAGTAAAGAAAATCAGCGTTTTGTGGCACCTAWTTTTTTTTATTCATGCGGTATAAAAAATAAAATATACTGAACGAATTAGTAGTAAAATGAATACATAGAATTGGTCAAATGATTTAACAACTTTTGTTAAAACAATATTTTTTCAATATTAGTAGAACATTTCATAAATCATTGGCTGAACATTTCTTTTATGATTTGCAGCAACTGTTCAGTTCAACCTGTATAATTTATTGAACAGCTTCAAAACGGTCCAGGGTTTGGAAGACGTACAATGTGGGTCAAAAAAGAAATGTTTCAGCAGCTAACTACTGCTCTATTTCGCAAAGTCGCCGATAAAATCTATCTAAAAGTGTAAATTGTATAACATCGAGGAACGAATTTGGCGCGAAACGTTGAACATGAATATATCACAATTTACAATACTCGTTTTAAGCCCCTAACGTTAGTCAGATGTCCGAGGAAGTTCTGGAACGAAAAGCTACAAGATTAAGCCAATCTTGTTCAATCAACCGGGAATAAAAAGTGTTTTACTTATTATTTGCTAAATGACCGGGTTGGATTGGCTTCCAATGCAACACTCAGATACGTCTAATATATTAATATAACATCTGGTATAATAACAATTTTTATATACTATATTATTATTTATATACCCTATCTTAATTTTTTAAAATAATTGAAAATCTTGAATTACGAAGAAAAGGGGGCCTAAACTTAGAACAATGCACACAAAAATACAATTTCAAATTAAAGTACAGTATGAAAGTAACAGATTTGGCAGTAACAATGTTGGACAATGAAAGGAGTTAGGCCTGAGCGGCCATTGCTTGAAATTGGCGAGTTTTTCGGGCTTCTAGGCCGTCGTTTAAAAGCTCATCAGTTTCAATATTGGACAATCTTGCTTGCGGAAAGTCTACATTTGGACTAAAAACTCCGCTTTTTGTAGAAAGTGGTTACTTTTCAGCAGTCTTAAAGCTAAACGCAACCCTTCAAGTTCTTTTCTACGAAATAACTGCGTCCCCTTTATATAGATATAGCTTTAACGAATTTACATTAATAATCTTGTACTACATTCAATTCAGAGGTAAGACTCGCTCTGTTTATTTCTTTTTGGGTTGTTTTTTCGAAATAGACAAACCGTTGTCGGATGGCTGGTGAGGAACCGATCCATTAGCAATTCTGCAGCAAAATATGATCCATTCGAAATCAACGCGGTTTTTTAGAGCGCAAAACTCACCTATTGTTAGTTCTAGGTACTGCAGCCCTCTGATCATCCATTCGGCCCGATTGGAATCTCATGATCAAAGAGAAAAAGTCTTCGTCAGGTACCGTGGTCCCCTTTGGCACTGTAGCAGCGGCGCCCCATGTTTCTTCCGCATCTTCAGAGGCAGCGGGCAGCGGTGACCGCTGGTCATCTAAACGTGAATTCTGACACCGCGCCAGTTGGTCCAGGAATTGATCATCTGGCAGGCAGGAATTCGACCGCGACTCGGCGATTCGTTGAAGAGAAGTCGATTGCAAACCTGCCACAATTCGCATCGCAACAGTTCAAACATTCCGCAGTTTTCATCGCGCTTTAGTACCTGGTAAATTGGGCAAAGCCACCCTCTGTTCGTCCATCCTTTTGCTCTGCATGCCGGATATCAAATCAAACAGATCTTCTGGCCGGTCGTTCTTCGGAAGATTAACCCTATTCAGGTTCTCCTTGTCATCTAAAGCTGCAAAATCGGTGAGTAAATCAATTGGGTTTTACAACCGCCCGCTCTAAGCACCTTTAACCGATAAGGAACATCTCTGGTCGTCCATGCGCTTTGACTGGAACCGCGACAACAGATCGAAGAATGAGTCTTCATCTTCGTTCTTCAGTTTCGGGGCTGATTTACTTTGCGCTGCCGCATTCTTTGCGTCCGGTGTCAGCTGGTATAAGTGGAAGTAAATATTGCAATACATATGTAATAAATATAGAAAACCAAACACTTGAAGCGCAACACAAAACACAAAAGCAACTACCTTAATAAGACTAAGCTGTTCCATGCTTTCACGTCTCACCCTGTGTAAGCGATCTCGGCTAGTATCAGGTTTAACTGGCGTTTTCATTGGCGGCACTTCATCGGCAGCCTCTGGGCTGTCTGGGAGATTCAGCACTCTCTTCAAGTCGGCGATGTTCATTTTGGCCGTGGCCTCCCCCATCGGATCGCTAATCTATAGACAGTCATTAGCTGTTTTCCCCATAGACTTTGGCGGTGAACACAAACTACCTCTTTGCTAATTTCCAAATGATTTCTAGCGAAACTGAGCGCCTTTTCGTGGTGTCCTAACGAGGCATGGGCATTGCCCAAAGACCAACAGGCCCTACCTTCTCCCACCCGGTCATTCAAGGTCTGAGCTATCAGTAAGTGCCTCAAATGGTACTCGATGGCAGTTTCGTAGTTCCTCAATAGCGTGTAGGTGTTGCCCAAGCTGTAGCAGGCCTGCGCTTCGATGGCTTGATCGCCTAGTTCTTGGGCTAGCGCCAAAGTGCGCCTGGAGGAACAGCGGTTAATAGATGCGTTAAAGAAAAATTGGTATTAGTACTTGTAGTGGTGTGCGGCTTCTTCAAAGCGCCCCATAAAAATATGGGAATTTCCCAGATTGCTGTGCGCCCTTCGCTCAGCTGCTTTGTCCCCGAATTGCCGGGCTATGGACAGTCTTTCCTCATGGTAGTGGATGGCTTGGCCGAAATCTCCCAGCAGATAGAAGGTATTGCCTAAGTTCCCACATGCCCTCCCCTGGGCGGCCACGTCTCCCAAGTCCCTCATTAGTGCCAGGTTTTCCCTGCAAGAATTCCCATTCAATAACGGCGCCTTTAGAGTGCAAAGCCCCTACTCATAGTAAGAGACTGCTTCTTGAAGACACTCCTTTACTTCATCGGAAAACTCGCCAGGGTCCTTCTGGCCCACTCTTCCGATGTGCTTCCCTTTGGCATGGCAAACGTTCCCTAAATTGTATAACGCTCTGCCTGCAATGAAACTCATCTTAAATATTGTCAGGATATATTCAGATAAATCCCCCAGTACCTTCACTAAGCTTATCGTCCAGCTCTCTGGAGAGTTCGAGGTGCCGTTTGCAGCACACCAGGGCTTCATCGAACTTGCCCATCACTTTCAAAGTGTTGCCCAAGTTGCCCGAAGACTTCGCCTCCCCCAGTTTGTCGCCCATGGTTCTAAAAATACCCATATGAGAATCGCCTTCCATTCTACGCCTCGAGCTGGTTACCTGGCCAATGTCAGATCATGCTTATGGTACTGCATGGCTTTATTGTAGTCCCCAAGGTAGAAATAGGCGTTTCCCAATTGCGAGTAAATGGCGCTTAGGGTTCGCAAGTCATCAGTCCCAGCCTGTATGGCTGCCTGGAAAAAGGCCACTCCAGCTCGACAGTCTCCTGCTTTGCACAGTCTTTCGCCTTCAAGGGCTAATTCGAGGCACATGTTACTTGAGCCGTCGTAATCCTGAATAGAATGCCATTTAAATTGGTTTCTGATCTTTGAAACTGAAATTTGTTTTTCTAGATGAAGCAAGGAGTTTGCCCATAGCTGATATCTTTGCGATAGAATGGTGAACTTGGACAGAGAAACATATCTGCTGTGCTTACGCAACATGTAAGTCTACTAGTTAAGTTTGTTATATGTTTGATGAGCGAAAGAGCCACTGTAACATTCACCCAGCTCTCAATTACGTTAAATGAACCAACTGAAGGGTTGAATGTTGGGTTAAGGGGGTTGTTGACAAGCCCTTGTTTGTTCAATGTCCAAACGAGTATGTGCGGAGAACAATTTACATCTTTTAGTTAATGCTAATTAATTGAATGTGCGTCAAATAGTGCATTACCACCGTCACTGTACCATTATGGTACTAGTAATGACTAATGAACTGTATGAATTCAAGGAATTTTAATAATGGGAGTGGAAGACGTGACGAAATTAATCAGTCTTACCTGCACGACTTTTTGTATACTCTCCTGGCTTGCGGTCACTGACATGATGAAAAACTGCCCTTTGGTCACTTTCACTTGATGAAAACTGCACTTTCAAAACCCTTTAAGCATTTTTTAAAACATAAACAAATCCTCAACTTCCACACTAACATCAAATGAATGTCATCGTCACTGTCAACACAAACTGACTTCACCGCTGCTGAATAGAGATGTTCTTCGATAGCCACAGGGGCGTGATTCAAACGGCCAGTGAGACAGAAAGAGACAAAACATCGGTAAACGTCGATTGCCAAACGTGTGCTGGTAAAGTAGCAAGCCGTTGTCGTGGTTACCGCTTAAAAAAGCGGACATAACCAATAGTTGACAGCTGTGGTTGACAGTGATACCAGAGTGATACTTGCAAATGAGTGACAGTTGACTAACATGTCAAGGCCCAGTGCTTTATTTTTCTATTAAAATCCAGCTAATTGGATGGAGCTGATTGTAAATAGTGTACTATCGAGCGGTTAACAGCGCATATAAAATTGCACAACTATTTTTAGTCGTCGTCTAAAACATAGCCACGTTGTCTGCCATCATGGAAAGGCGCCAGTTTTTGGCCTTCACCACTATTTGCTTCATTCTGTTCTGGAACATTGCCTCGCTTCAAAACACTAGTGTCGTAGTCGGGCACACTAATGCTACAGTGCCGGTAGTAGCTGGTAATCTCAGCGTGCCAGTTGTTGCAGTGAATTCAAGTGACAGTAGTGCTGTGCCTGGAAATGTGTCTAGTAAAAGTGGACAGCCCACAGTTCCAACCCCCGTAGGGGCTGATGGGTTGCTGCCAGTCAGTACTGCCACATCCACCCGAAATGAGGGAGTAGAGCTGAATACTACTGCTGTATTGCCTGAAGCGAATGCCACCAAGATCAACGTGACCTCAACAACGCAATCCGTGGATCCAGTGCTACCGGATAAAGAGGCTGCAGAAGATGAGCACAACAGCTCCATGGCCATTTTCTTCGTGCTTTGCGTGCTGGCATTGGGTATATTGCTAATTCATCTCATGCTCCAAACAGGGTTCCAGTATGTGCCCGAAAGTATCGTCATCGTGTTCTTGGGGGCTTTGATCGGTCTAACAATGAGCGCTCTGTCGAACAGAAACATCAGCAACTGGAGAAAGGAGGAGGCTTTTTCACCAACGGCGTTTTTCTTGATCCTCCTGCCGCCCATTATCTTTGAGTCCGGCTACAACTTGCACAAAGGGAACTTCTTTCAAAACATCGGCTCTATTCTAGTGTTTGCCATTGTTGGCACTACAATTTCCGCTTTTGTTATCGGGTTTGGCATCTATTTCTTAGGGCTGGCTGAAGTGGTTTACCAGCTCAGCTTTGTAGAGTCGTTTGCTTTCGGTTCCTTAATCTCAGCAGTTGATCCTGTGGCGACTGTAGCGATTTTTCACGCTCTCAACGTGGATCCCATCTTGAACATGCTGGTGTTTGGCGAAAGCATACTAAATGACGCCATTGCCATTGTTTTAACCACTGCTGTCCTTGAGTCCAACAACCCCTTAATGAGCACGGGAGAAGCGATCATTTTAGGCATTGAGAACTTTTGTCTCATGTTCTTTGCCTCGGCAGGCATCGGAGTGATTTTCGCGCTTGTCAGCGCCTTGCTCTTAAAGCATGTGGATCTCAGGAAAAACCCGTCATTGGAATTCGGAATGATGCTGGTTTTCACCTATGCGCCGTATGTATTAGCTGAAGGCATCCATCTTTCAGGAATCATGGCCATTCTATTCTGCGGCATTGTAATGTCGCACTACACCCATTTCAACCTATCCACTGTTACTCAAATTACCATGCAGCAAACCCTGAGAACTCTGGCCTTTATTGCTGAAACCTGCGTCTTTGCCTATCTAGGCCTAGCCCTGTTCAGCTTCAAGCATCGAGTGGAACCGGCCTTTATCGTCTGGAGCCTGATTCTTTGTCTAATTGGGCGGGCTTGCAATATCTTCCCATTGGCCATTCTGGTCAATCGGTTCCGCGAGCACCAAATTACGAAGAAAATGATGTTTATCATGTGGTTCAGCGGTTTGCGCGGGGCCATCTCATACGCACTATCGCTCCATTTGAACTTCAGTGACGAGACGAGGCACGTTATCATCACCACCACTTTGATCATTGTGCTGTTCACCACCTTGATATTTGGCGGGTCCACCATGCCTCTGTTGAAGTTCATGCAGGCGACGAAAAATCCGGCCAAGAGGCAGAAAAAACGGAAGAGGGACCGCGAGGTGACGCTGAGTAAAACGAGGGAATGGGGCCAGGCTTTGGATTCTGAACATCTATCTGAAACAACCGAGGGCGAGATGGAGGTGTCCTTTGTTTCGGCCAGAATTAAGGGATTTGCCAAGTACGATCTCAAGTACCTGATACCCTTTTTCACCAGGAGGTTCACACAACAGGTGAGTGTCAAAGAGGCGCGGATCGGACTGATCGAAATGATGCAAATTAAAATGTGCCTTGGGTACGTATCGGACGCATCTTAAGGATGCACACATCCGATTCTAATGTATGTGCGTAGTAAATAGTCATTTGCATCCGTTCCGTTCGTTCGATTCGATCAAAAGCGCGCTTATCTTAATCTGAATTTCAGTGGGTCCGGGGAGTGCAGTATAAATGTGGATTTTGATAAAAATTTGTCCTTTTTTGCTACATTTTCTAATCATGTCGCATTCACCTTTTCGTTTAGAGTTTTGCCAACGCTCGAAGGCTCTTTAACTTTGAAGTGAACAGCTCGAGTGCAAGCGAGTAAAAACATGATCGTTTATCTCTCCCACTCCCTTACTATAGTTCTGGGTGACGTATTAACCTCAAACGTCTTTATAGTTTCTATATATTCACTCAGTTTGTATTTCATTAAAATGTCTCTAAACCCTCAATGTATGGCAATTAACAATGTGGTGTCGTGCTGCTATGTGGCCCTGACAATTCTGTGGCTAAAATCGACAAGTTCCCTCTACCAGATTGGTGACTTCAGAGAAACTTACTTGCAATCGTTCTTGATCACTGCTGAAGTGCTCAAGTACCTGGCCTTTGGGTTCTACGCCCCGAGCGCGCCAAAGAAACCTGATAGCAAGGACAGCAAAAGGCCTGGATGGTTTAAGAGCACCTTTACAATCCTGAGCGAAGTGCTGACTTTCTACATTGTGGCCGTACTCTTCGGGGCTCCATTCTTGTCCAAACAGCACGAGAATCTCACCTTTGCCATCACTATGACCGTTCTGGTGGTACTGCCCTGTTGCTTGTACATGGGCACTGACAAATCTGTAGTTGTGCTGTTATCGTTGATTTCCCCAGCTGGGAACGACCAATTAAAGCCGTTCTTTAGAATCAGCCAGTTTACGTGTTTGGGGGCTTGGCTGGGGGCCATTGTTGTCCCTCTGGACTGGAACAAGCCGTATCAGGTCTGGCCCATTCCCGCAATTCTCGGGGCCCTTGCTGGCTACTTTTTTGGCCATTTATTTCTGCTTAGTACTTATTTACTACAGAAGAAATTTACAAAGCGAACCTTGAAGTCGCAGTGTTGATAGGTACTTGGTTCTTTGTTTGGCATCTTTCCAGACTAAAGTCGTTTAATTCAGAAATGACTTATCAGGCAATAATGTTTTAGGAACTAAAGGATTGCAAAAGCCAAATGACCGACCTAACTAACCAATGGTACCAAGCCATTAGGATATCGCCAGACCAATCAGACGAGGAGACGGGCTGCGCCACTGGAAGGTCCAGTATATCCAGCATAGTTCGCTGACCGTCTTCAAAGTGCAATTCCGAAAAATTACCATTGGTTGCATGTTAGGATCCCTTATGAATAAAGTAAGCTCTTTCATTATTTTCCATTTTGAGTCGTTTGCGAACGGCGTGCCAAAAATCAAGTTAGTAATTTTAGATAATTCGACAAAAAAGCAGTTTGTTAACTAGTCTGGTTGGTTAAGGTGGGCCAGACTTTAATCCCCAACAACCTAATTGCATTTGAATCAAGGTACATGTTGTAGATAAGGTGATATTCATTCTGTGTTATTTAGTTGTGGTATTCTTTAAACTTAGGCGCACTAGTTGATTGGAAAAAAATAAGCGAACAGCGGGGGTCTGTTGAGTTACGAGCTTAACGCTCCAAAGTACTTATCTATTTACATTTTTACATATACTTATCTATTTATTTAATAGTTAATTTCAAATCGCCAAAAAATACCTTGGTTTAGATCAATGTTTTGAGCAGCTACCACGGGTATTGCATGAACCGTTGATAGTATTATTTTTGCGTTGTTTGCACACCATCCAAAGAAACTTCATCAACAGCCTTTTTAATCAGTATCAACATGAACTAGTCAATGGATGTGGCACAAATTGGACGTTTTAAAAATTGGATTAGGACTGTTTGTGATAAATTTCGAAACGTTGGAGTTGAAAATGTTTTATTTAATAATATGTTGCTTTAAATAAAAAGTGTTAATATATGCAGCCCATTGACTCGTCCTGCACACATCCAGTCCTTCTGCAAACTCCCTTTAAAATTGCTTAGTTTTTAAGGTCTTTGTGCTGCTTTCTTTTGTGCGCATATAGTGAAGTGTGATGCACAAAGGATTTATCACAGTCTGTACAGCTATAGGTTTTCTTTCCTGCGTGTGAGTCTTTGTGCACTTGGAGCGCTTTGTTGTTGTAAAAGGGCTTTGAGCAAATGTCACATATGTAGTTTTTCTCTCCTGCAACATGGAATAATCGCGATCTAGTCGGAGCATGATTTACTGAGTTCAAATATTCGATTACCTGTATGGGTTTTCACATGCTCAGTCAAGTGCGAGCTCATTTTGTATGTTTTTCCGCATAACGTGCAAGCATAGGGCTTTTCCCCAGTGTGGCTCCTCATGTGAATCGTTAAATAGCTGGTTCTTTTGAACCTTTTGCCACAAACCTTGCATTCGAACCTTAAATAAGGAATCAATGTTGGTTTGGTGTGGACCCAATAGCTTAGACGAACCTTTTATGGTCTGAATGTGTCAGCATGTGGGCGTTCAGAACGGACGCGGAAACAAACGACGTGAAACACTGGCGACAAGAGTAGGGCTTTTCTCCCGTATGCTGTCGCATGTGGATCTTCAAGTTATGGGCGTAGATGAACGTCTTGCCGCACATACTGCACATGTGATCGCGCTCCATTGTATGGGTTTTTAGGTGTAGTTTCAAGTTGAACTTGTGGCCAAACCCCTTTAGGCAAATTGAGCATTTATATGGGCGCTCTCCTGGAATTTTCGCAATGTTAGAGAACTATTTGGGCCCCAACTGCGGCCCAACCTGTGTGCGATTTTAAGTGAACCGCCAAATATCGCGAATCTCTGAAGGATTTGCTACAAACGTGACAAACTGCCGGCCTTTCCCCAGTGTGTATTCTCATGTGAACCAGCTTTTGTTGTCGGTACTTGAACCATTTGCCGCATTCCTCGCATTGCAGTTTAGGGACTTGACTGGAAAATGCTTCTTAGTAGGTTTGGTGATCAATTTTTCTTGTGCTTACAGGTGATATTTCAAATGGGCCTTTAATTGCTTTGTCGTAGCGTAAACCGAGCTGGATCCTTTGGGGCATAGATGGCAGTAATTTGAACCATCCTGGGGGTGATAGTCTTTTAAGTGCGCCTCTAGGCTGGTGTCCAGATTACATTGGCAATGGTCGCACCATTCTCTTGTGATGACTGAAATTTACAGCGTCAATTTTAAGGTTTAGTGATTGGGATGGCAGACCTTCTAAAGGTGCCTGTTCAGTGATCTCTTCAGCCTCAACGGGTGACTCTTCTGAATCCCCAACTTCGAGCATTTTGGCGTTGGCTGCATTTTCATGGGTTTGTTGGCTGTTGTAAATTCCCAAAGGGATCAGAGTTTTGTAATTGCACACAATCTCTAACTTGCCCTTCCTAGCTGGTTTCGCTTGTGTAAACAATTGGTTTGTGTGGAATGTTTCCTTATTATCTGCGAGGAGCGTTTGCTCAGTTACTTCAAGAATGGTCTTTTTATTTTCCTTGCTAAGGGCCAGCGCGGTTTTAAGGGCACAGTCATTGGCCTCGCAGATGAGTTTGAAATTGTGAAATTCCATTGCCTTGTCTAAGCAGTTTAAGCAAACGTTTTCCGGTAAAAAGTCGCCCATTTCGAGCTAAAAACACTGTCGTTGCGAGCCTCCTTTTTATACGAATAGAAAACTTACCACTATTGAAGTGATTTTTGAAATTGGGCCCAAAGCTTCAGAGAGGAATACATTCGTCAGGCTATCGTCTTCCTTGAGACACAGTCTGCATATTTTGTTAAACTCCGCCACTTGTAAGATGGGCATTGTTTGGCTGATTTTTGAGAAAAATAACCTAGAAGTTTGACGTTGTGTTGAGGATTTGAGGGTAAGGTTGATTGCCTATGTTAACCCATTTCTGTTTATGTATAAATGGGTGGGTTTTACTCATTCATTCATGGGAATTTGGACCCAACATAAACTTGACTCATAAACTAAATTATATATTTAGAGTAGGTATCTTTTAAACATCGCATAAATCTTGCTTGATAGTCCATTACTAATTACTTGGTTGGTACTGGTCTGGGTGTGTACTCATAAAACTCATACAACAATTCCGGACTAATTCGACTGCTTTAAGCACAACGATGTGGTTAAAGATGCCAGTAAACAAGCAAAATAGAAGTAACATACAATCTAAGGGTTCTGTTAAGAAATGGGCTGTTTTTCGGTTAATCTAGAATAATTAAGCAGAAAAGGATACGGAACAAGTGCTGTTCCCAAGTCTCCACCATGAACAGCTCAGTTACAATCAAATAGCGCATATACCAGTATTTTATTTGTTTTTTCACTTCCATTTTTAGTCCGCTTCTACTGCAAACTTTAACCTAAAAAATGTTCTTGGTTACACTAGGTCTTGTTGGTTGCCGAAAAGCTGCAAAAACATGCTGTTGACGCCACTTTATTTAGGGACTTTTGCTCCCTTTGGTTCCTGGCACGCATTGTCAGCTATGATTGTCAGCATCTGCCACTTTGACATTGTGCTGTTTTGTTTAATATCAAACGCGATTTTTGCTAGAAAAATCGTCGATTTCCTGATAAAATTAGTTTAATTCCAGTGCGGTTAGGTCCAGTAGCATGTAAGAAGGGTCTCAAGATAATCCACTGCAGTGCTGGCTCTATGATGGACTCGCTGTCGTCCAGGAAGAATGGCAATGCAGATCCGGAAAACCTGAACCTCAGCTTGGATATGGGGGACGAAATCAAACTGGAAGAGGTGAATTACGAGAGCGACATATCGTCGTCCAGTTCGGAATCGTCTAGTGCCCCCAGTATTAGTTCGGCGAGTTCAAATTCGTCAGACAAGGGGCGTCATGGGCGCCACAAGAATACGCGCCCCGACAAGAGCCCCTCGCCGGCGGTAAGACGAGAACGGCCCAAGGATGCCAAGTCCAAATATGACTACTTAACGAAGCTGAACTACTTATTTCGCGACGCCCGGTTCTTCGTCATTAAATCTAACAATGCCGAAAATATCACGCTGTCGAAGGCCAAAGGAGTCTGGTCCACTCTGCCCCAGAACGAGGCCAATTTGAACCAGGCCTGGCGAGAGTCCCGAAACGTGCTTCTCATCTTCTCGGTGAAAGAAAGTGGAAAATTTGCAGGCTTTGCCCGCCTGAATGGGGAGTCACGTCATGATATTCCATCAATTTCCTGGGTGCTTCCTGCCGGTCTATCGTCTAGGGCTTTAGGCGGAGTCTTTAAAGTCGACTGGATTTGTCGCAAAGAGCTCCCGTTTTCCAGCACCATGCATTTGTACAATCCTTGGAATGATGGAAAACCCGTGAAAATCGGCCGAGATGGGCAAGAGATTGAGCCGCGAGTAGCTGAAGAACTGTGCCGTCTGTTTGCAGAAGATGAAGGCATTGAGATTTCGCCTATCCTGAGACTGGCCAAGGAGGCCTCGAAGAAACTGGGACTTAGAGGCAAGGACGGCAATCGGCACGTCAAGGCCCGAATGCCCATTTCTGCACGAACCCCCTTTGCATTCAGAGGAGGCCGCGGAGGATCCTCCTATTCCAGGAGGAAATTCTTTTTATCGAATAGAGCGTTAAATTCAACAAATTATCGGCGCTCAGCCTCACCTAGACCGAGGGACAGGTAAGTGTGGCAACAGCATTTTATCCCCAACTTTGACCACCAGTTTAGTTTACTGCAACAGTGAACAGCTGTGTGATTTTTAGACTTACGAACATTGTGGTGATACAAACATTTCTCTCTTCTCGTAAAATGGTGTGTGTTGGACTTTCTGGGGGAGGGGGTAATTTCAAGAACTTTTTCAATTGTTTCACACATACGAACTGTGAGGTAAATGTTCAATTCAATTGTCCCTAAGCATTCAAGGATGGGTAAGTGTGTAGAAAGTGTGCCTATCTAGATACTTATTGGCGTTCAACAGTTTCTAGTGTCTGTTTTATTTTTCGTCAAGTTTAAGGCCTTGCTCTTACACACAATTTACTCTATTGACAAGGTTGCTTCTCATCTAGGATCTCAGGCTGCGATCTAATCAAGTGTTCCTTCATTCATTTGCTTTCAATTTTCAAGTTGTTTAAGCTGGCTTTTGTGGCCGTTGGAAACTGATGAGTTTTTCTTCGGGCCTTCACACAGTGATGAATTGGAATGTCTTCCAGACGTTTCTTGCTTGCATCGTTAGGTGTGATTGGCTCGAACTGTTGAACTCACTTCTATGCTTGCCTGCAAACGTCAGGAAGGAATTCTATTTAAACTGTGTATGAGCCATTGAACCTGAGCTCCGGCAATTCCGACTCTAAGAACTTGATAAGAGCAACCTTACTTTGGAGTGGATTTGAAGCTAATTTGTGGCTTTTAGGTATCATCCCTATTATGATAGAGAGTCGCCTCGGCCGTATACGGCAGCTGCCGCTGAGGCCTACGTTGCTGATTACATGAGAACCATGCAACATCAGCTACCTCCGTTACCATATGTACCTCCACCCGGATTGTATTCATCTAGCTATGAACCAATTCCGGCTCCTGCAAGGTAAATTGCTGAGAAGTGACTTAATTTTCAAACTCTTGGTAAGTCAATTGGACTGCTTGGAAATAATTTTGATTACTTCTAGATATTACGATGGGCTTTCAATAGGAGATTACCCGACCGCTAGGATTGCCCCCTATCAAGATAAGAGGAGCTACGATCGAACAGTGGAGGATTTCATTTGGAAGAATAAAGAGAGACGCTCGTCGAGGGAAAGAGAGTATTCGAGAGAGCGGTCCCGGTCCAGAGATCGATCCCGAGGTCAATCGCGAGAAAGAGAGCGTTTGAGGGAGCGCGAGCGGGAAAGGGAGCGAGCCCGTGAGCGCGAAAGGGAGCGCCAGAGACTGAGGGAAAAGGACTCGCGCTATCGCTACCGAGACAGACGGTAGATAATCAGAACTTGCTGACTAGATGCCCTAATGCTGTTATAGTATGAGGGTAGGGAGGGGACTCGGGTCTTCTAAACCAAGAAGAGTATACTATTTGATAATGCTGTTAAGTTCTTCAGTTTGTATTTGCTTGTGTTTTCCATGTAAATACGCGCTCTAGGAGCCTGATCTTTTTTTTTACACTCACCACACGGCTAGACACAATTGTTCATTTTATAAAATGTATGGCGTTTAATACTCAAGGCCAATTGCAGCGTAATGTTACATACCCATAAATTGGTCATTTGAGATGATTTCTGGACGTGCAAAATTGCAATAAATGACTTGAAATGGCCTTTTTGCAATTGTTATTCGCCTTAACCCAAAC